GTGGGGAATTGCATCCCTTTCAACTTCAACACATCTGCAGGGTCCGGGTATTTGCTTAAGCGTTGGGGATGTTCCTCAACTGGAAACAATGCCGAAACTACTGCCCATGCAAAACATCTGTTATCAGCGTTCTGCACGTTTACGCAGGCCTTTCTCGCAGCTATTTGCGGCGGCAGTTTGATGTAGGAGGATCCTAGTTGAGGCGTGAATTTGTTAATGTTGATGCCCAAATTAACAATTTTCTTCAAGGCCCAACCACTGTCACGTTCTTGGAATTCCTCCATTTCGTGCATAATGGGTTCAGCAACCTTATCCTTAAACCACTGGTCGAGATTGGTGTCTAAGTAGATGGGGGAGTTGGAGGTGGTAAAGTACTTGTATTCTTCAAGTACTCTACCACCTTTCACGATTTCGAATTCCCCACAAAATACTGCATTAACTTTGATGGCTTCATCCTTTTTAAGACCATTCTGGATCCTGCGTTTAAACAATGCAGCACAATCAACCAAGAATGCTTTTGGCTCTTTGTGTTTTAAATTGGAAATGACTCCAGTCCTTATCCTGCTGCTAAAAGCTGAAATGGAGTCATCCCAATGCACCCGCTTCCCCGCTTGTTCAGGACGTGATGGTGTAATTCCCGCACCCTTCTTCAGCATTGTCTTAAATTGATTTCTAAGAGTCCTTAGGTGTCGGAGTGAGGCCTCCAAGTGCTGCTTTTCACCCATGGTCTTTGCTCCTTTGAGAGCCTTGTTGAGCTTGCGGGCTCCTCGAGTACACTCGAGGAGCCCGTCCCTCACAGCCTGGTCCGTATTAGCGGGAGTAATGAGCCCGAGGAGAGCAGCTATATGCCTCAGCATTGCAGCAAAGTCTGGCATCATGTTATCTGTAAAGGATTAAAATATTTAGTTTTGACCAAAGGTGATAAAGTAATATTTTATGAAATCAAAAAAATTGTTATCTCTCAAACTTATAATTTAGTAGAACAATGTGCTAAATTAAAGAATAATCTATCTAAATAGTTGACCACACCTTTTGGCTACGTTTTACATCTGAGATAATAACCACAATTAAAAAATCCTTATACTTAAATCTAAAAATAAATTGTTATCAAAAATAAATTAACTCACCTTTGAAAATATTTTCTAGAAGAAACACAGTTTTCAATAAAACCACGAAACACAGATAAAAATTCTGGATGATTAGAGCACCTAGTTATCTCTATGACGCACTAATCTCGAATGAACATCCCGATTAAGCGTAGCCCTCTTAAACTGTAGGACGGACGGAGGACAGAACGGTTTTCGTGTAACTGATGAGAAAGGCCCCATACAAACATTGAACATATTACCCTTGAACTCGACAACGCCCTATGGATCTCGGGAGGATACGCCCCACCCGAATCCATAAGAGCGTCAAGGGATATCAGCGTGTTTTTTCCAAGGAAAGTCAGAGCATTACTGATAGGCGATTTAAACGCTAAACACATAAATTGGAATAATACAAACAACAATCGGGCAGGCAACATCCTCTTCAACTACTTAAATTCAAACCCGACAATTCGACTATATCACACCAATAGCCCCACCCACTTCCCAAGCAACGGCAACGCCCCCTCAATAATCGACATCGCTCTCAGCAAAGGACTAACAGACATCGAAATTAAGACTAAAGACATGCTTGGATCTGACCACCTGCCTGTTTTTCTGTACTGGAAAAACCACCCCCCAGTACAGGAACAACAGCAGGTGTACAATTACAAAAACTTCGACTGGAATCGCTACAGAAAAAGACTAAACGACATCACAGAAATCCCGCCCCCCATTCTCAACACAGCCGATCTCGAACTCCAAGTAACTAAACTCACTAAAAATATACAAACCACCCGTGACCAACTCGCCCCTAAAATCTCCATCAGAGAAAAGACAGACACTATCCCCGACGACATCCTTAAAATCATCAAGGAAAGAAACAAAATCAAACGAGCTTGGCAAAGACGTCCCAACAACCTTGACAGACAAATACTCAAATTAATGAACAGCGAAATAGAGAGGAGCATACGTAATCACAGGAACAGATCCTGGATGAAATATGTCTCCTCTCTAGAAGCACAGGACAACTCCTTGTGGAAGCTGGCCCGAACCCTAAAACGCTCAGGCGCCAAGGAGGCGGAGCTTAGGGTAAATGGTACCAGCTACTACAAGGAGGAAGACAAAGCCGAAATTTTCGCTAACCATTTCGAGTCGGCTTTCGACGAGACTCCTGACGAGACAAACGCCCAAAGACTCATAACAAGTAACATAGACGAATTCAGCAGTCGCAAATACCCCATCCCCCCGAGAGCACTCAACAACTTAATCACCTCGCCTGCTGAAATACTACGAATAACCAAAAAACTACCAAACAGAAAAGCCCCTGGACCTGACACAATTAACAACCTACTTATCAAAAACCTTCCCAGGAAATGCGTTATCCAGCTCATGCACATTATAAATGGTATTGTCATCCTACAACACTTTCCGCAGAGCTGGAAACACGCAAACATCATCGTGTTCCCTAAACCTGGGAAGGACTTGACACAACCAAAATCTTACAGACCAATTTCCCTGATTAACTCACTCAGTAAGATTGCTGAAAAAATCATCCTCAGCAGACTACTTACTGAAACAAACGCCCGACAATGCCTCCCCCCCGAACAGTTCGGTTTTCGCGCCAAACACAATACAACACTGGCAGTAGCGAAGGTGGCCCAAGATGCAACCATCGCATTTAACAACTCAGAGTCCACCTTCCTACTGCTACTAGACATAGAAAAGGCTTTTGACAGAGTGTGGCACAAAGGACTCTTACACAAACTTCTAACAACACATGACATACCCCTGCATTTGGTCGCTCTTTTGGCATCCTACTTAAAGGATCGCACTTTTGCAATTAAAACACCGAGCAAAACGTCACAAACCAAAAACTTAAAAGCAGGGGTACCACAAGGAACTGTACTATCGCCCACACTCTTCAACCTTTACATAGCCGACATACCCAAAACTGACGAAACTAACCTAATGATGTACGCAGACGACACTGCCATATACACCAGCAACTTCTTCGCAGATGACGCGAAGAGGGCGCTGGAGACTCACCTGAACTTACTTACACCCTACCTAAAACATTGGAAAATCAAACTCAACACAGCGAAAACCGAACTACTCACGATAACGAGAAAACGCACCAACCTTGAAATGGACCCACCCCTGACACTAGACAACCAAATCATCACCCCCAAAACATCTGTAAAATACCTTGGACTAATACTAGACAAAACCCTGCGAGGGTACCCTCAAGTAGAGCACGCACTGCAAAAGGCTCACATCGCCGAGAGACTACTAGCCCCTCTTATGAACCCTCGCTCATACCTCACCCCCAAAAACAAAATACTTATTTACAAAACAATCATACGACCAACCCTACTTTACGGCGCCCCAGCGTGGAACTACATCTCCAACACGCAAAAACTAAGACTTCAACGATACCAGAACAAAGTACTAAAAACAGCCCTCTCACTACCAATGGACACAAGGACACTAGAGGTCCATAAACTTGCCGACATAAACACTATAATAGACTACTTCGAGGACATTTCCTCCAAATTTTTCGCCAACACCCTCCTAGGACCTGAACTGACCAGAAACATGACCACCCTCAGACACAACCCCGTCAACCCCCTAACACACAGACCGATTCACCATAAAATCCCAATTTACTTCCAGCAAAATCAATTTCAAATTTAACATCTCTCAAACAAATCTCCGCCCACTGACACGCCCCCCCTGATATACTCGACGCGACTTCCCTGACAGCGCCCCGCGACTAATACAACCAAAGAGACGTGAAAAAGGGTTTTTATCAACTTTTCCCTTTATAACTGACATGAAAACGACTGAGGACAGACAGGAAAATGAAACAAAAATCAACCATATTAAATTTTCGAAGAGGTAAATTGTGCTAAAAGGGGGAAACCTATACACCCCAGGAAAGCTACGGAATAAGTTTGGCTGCCACTACCACCCCTAAAACTACTTTGGAATGGCCTTAACATCGGCCTTGGCCCCCTTTCTGAGGGGTTGTAAATTAGTTTTTAGTGTGAACTACACTTGAAGTTGTATTTTCTAGCTATTAATTTAAGTATTCCAAACTTTGTATGTTTAGGTTAAGGTAGTTTTAAGTAATATGTAATTTTGTAAATAAAAATTCTATCTATCTATCTGAGAAAGGCCCCCCAATCTATCAGGTGCTTGAAGACGTTTTCCATAAGAATCAATGTAAAAGTGTAGCAATTATCGGTTTTTACCCAATTTGATCACATTTTCCCATTTAAATACATGCATTTTTAGTTTAAAGCTTTGCGGTTTTGTACAAGATCCGATGTGGGCGGTGAGTCATCAATGCAATTATTTCATAAGTGAAAAATGGTGCAAGTTAAATGATACCATCCAGCAATAAACTTTTTCGTTTTGGTGTCTTGTGTTACAAAAAATTTTGGTACAGGAACGTTTTCACTTCTATGAAAAATGTTTTAGGGATAATTTAAAATTATTTCGTCAGTTATCAGTTAAATGATGGCTGCAAAACCGCAAGGTCTTCCTGTTGCCAAATTTCATGGAATAGTTATTATTTTGATTGAATCCTCAGTTTTTTCTCTGAGGATCTAGGATCTTTTTTTTGATAACATAAGTAATAGGAATCTTTTTTTGGATATAAAATTATAATCAATATCTTTTCAAGGTTGGACTAGACTCCAGAGAGATAACGCCTCTTATAACTTTACCTAACCTTTTCAAATTAAACAATAATTTGCTTTTTTGGTTTATGAATCGAAATGCTGTGTCTCTTATTTGTTGTGATTATTATTGATTAGTTTGATTATTGGAGCATTGGAGACAAATGATTATGTATGAGAATGATGAAGCGCGAGGGTGGTGTATTGCAAGTGTGTTTGTATGTATGATATGGTCATTGACTCCGCCTCAAAGGCTGTGTGCGAGCTAGTGAGATCGGCTGAAGACGTGGGCTTTCGAAAGGTGCTGGGTTATAGCGACGGTAGCTGGCGCGCTGGATGATGTTTACATGAAATATATTTTATATTATAAAGTAAAATTATTTTGTCAGTTATCAGTGTAATGATGGCGGCAAAACCGCAAGACTCGATTGGTAAAGAGTTCATTTTCAAATTAAACTTTTAAACTAATCTATGTTTCTTAGATATTTTATAATTACATCGCTAGTTATTTAAAATTGTTCTTGCGAACGTGTAAAAAAATTTGGTCTTGTTGTCTGCTCAATTTCTTGGAATAATTGATTGGTACCTCTTGTTGATATCACCCAAGTAAGTGAAATTATTTTGAAATAATTGGCTATCTGTGTTATCAGTAAAAACCGCAACTCTTGTTTAGACTCGTCAACTAGTTTTGAATTGAACTTTTAAAGTAATCTATGTTTTTCAGATATTTTATAATTACGGCACTTATTGTGAGGTGCTCATGTTAATGTTAGGTACTGAATTTCTTGGAATAATTGATTGAAACCTCTGATAAAAATACCTAGGATCTTTTTCGATACTTAACACAATCTCTTTTTATATTATAATCAATTTTTTTCCGAGACGATGGCTGTCTATTAGATGTATGCGCTGAGCTGATAATAAAACCCGGTTTCCTACAAGACCATAACAAAAATAATTTGTGTTTGTTGTGCGAGAGAGAGAGACAGGTATGTAGTATGAGCGAGAGGTACATCATCATCAGCACCTTGTATGGAGCATTAAGGTATGCACGGTCTATGTCCACGGCCTCTCAATGGATCCGCTGAATATTTTACAATTTTTATTTTCTCGACAATTATTTCACCCACATCAATTTTAATTAGTAACGCTATTATCAGTATGAGGTATGAGACACTCGAAATTTGAATTAGTTACGCCATTATCAGTATGAGGTATGCGACACCCAAAGTGTCAATATGACCAAGGTGGCTGACCGCTCCTCATGATTGCGTGTTACCTCCTCCTTTTCACCATTTATTATCAACTGCTAGGATAGCCTAGTGGTTGCTGCAGCGGGCTTTCAAGCTGGGGACGGGAGATCGGTTCTTAGTGGTTACCGACTTTTTTTTAATTTCTATTCCATGATGCAATAGCTGCGCGGGTCGATTATATTATATGAGAGCGGGAGAGAGAGAGAGAGAGAGATATGCGGTACGAGAGCAAGAGAGCGAGAGTTACGGCATCATCAGTATCAGGTAGCGAGTATGTGTGGCTGCCTCGGCGGCTACTGAGGTAGTGCGAACGGTCGATGCAGACCTGGGCGCTGGAAAGGGGGCGGGGCCTAATTCTAGGAAATTTTACCCCCACTCCAAAACGGTGCGAAAAGTGGCAGAATGGACCTTAGATTTTCTTATGGAGATTTACATGGGAAAATGGGTGATTTTGGCCCAGCTCTCTCCTAGCACCTTTACTCGTACCTACCTCTACCTATCGAATGAATGCTGAAAAAACGATGTTTTGGTTCGATTCCGACGGATCGAATCAATCACCACAGTTGTGCGAAACACAACAAACCATTCTATGTCGCTAGTAATTCTAATTTTAGATTCACGCTGCGGTTACCTATTTTTCTTTGTTTTTTTTTTTTTTTTTCTCCATACCTACCTGCCTGACGCGATTTTTTTGTTTTTTTTTTTCGAACCGAAGCAATCCCATAATTATTCGAAATTCGTGCAGTGGGTAATTTTTTTATTCGAACCTCAACGTAAACAAAGAAGTAGATCCAAAAATGAACTAGATCGAAAACAAAATTATGTATAGGTACCAAACCAGCCATCAGACGATTGGCCAGACGTGGTGGCGTGAAACGTATTTCGGGTTTGATATACGAAGAAACTCGTGGAGTTCTCAAAGTATTTTTGGAAAATGTTATCCGTGACGCCGTTACTTACACCGAACACGCCAAAAGGAAAACAGTGACAGCTATGGACGTCGTCTACGCTCTGAAACGTCAAGGACGTACCCTTTACGGGTTCGGAGGTTAAATCGCCGAGAATTGGAGGAAAAAAAAAAAAAAACGGTTCTTTTCAGAACCACAAATCTAAAAAAAAAAAGGAAAATCGTAAACTCTAGCGAATTTAGCTTTAGGTTTTCTAAAGTGAAATTCATCATTGTTCGAGACGTTTTGAACGTAGCACGAGTTGCTGAAAAACGTTCGAAGATAAGGTGAATGCACAAGGGAACACGTAAATTTGAATAAATCCAGTAATCCTCGGAATAAATGGATAAAACAAAAGTATTGTGTTATTATTATTATTATTATTATTTTTTTTTTCCCGGATCTTGATTTTCTAGCCGTACACGTATATATCTTAATTTTTTTTTTATTTATTATTATTATTTTTTTTTTTGCCTCAAACAGGACGAAAAAAGACATTTTTTTTTTTGGAATAAGAAAAATCTCCAAATGATAGCGACCACAATTTTTTTTTCTTCATTTTTTTAATTATAAATAAAATCCAAAATCGAATATTTAGTATACTGCTGGACACTTGAACTTTCACATATACAGACTTTTAGAGCAAATTCAAAATTCCATATTTTCGAGAGGAATAAAGTTTTTTTTTTTGTTTTTTTTTTTTTTTAACGCGGTTTGTGGATTTGAATAGCTTGTTTTTTGCGGATAAAGCTTGACGTAAATTTCTCATACGACCATAGGGTTACGATATACGGGGCGATATTCATCAATTCAGTTTTGCTTTGAAATCTGTATGTGTAAGTTCAAGTGTCCAGCAGTTTATTTTCGGTGCCTATTGACGTGCCCTTACATTTTATACGAGTCCCGATAATACCTGAAGCAAAACTACGTGCCCCAACTTCTTGCGTCCTAATTAATTTCATCAGAGATTACTTTATAGGCGTTCGCCGACGATACGTATAGACGCAACCTTACATTTCGTGCGTTTGTCGTCTCGAGAGCGGAGGGAAAAGTACGTACCCTAACTTTTCGTGGGACCTTTTCGTGGGCACGACTTTAATTATAGGCGTTTGCCGATTCTCTCGAAAACGGAAGGAAAAATAAGTACCCAAACTTTATGTGCGAGCGAACTTCTTTTTCTTTTTTTGCCGATGCAAACGACGACGTACCCTCACATTTTGTACATTCGATTCTACTCTAAACTTTTCGAGTTTTCCCGAAACCTTAATCTACCTATATACCAACAGCGATTCGCGACTTTACATAGACATTTGCCGATATGCGTTCGCCGTACCCTTACATTTTCTACTTTCGTCCGAAAAACTATACGTGCCACAACTTGTAGGTAGGTATTGACCGTTTCCAAATCAATCATTCGGATCGTGAATTTTTTTTTTCTTCCCAAATTTCGAATATCATGCCGACCTATATCGATCACAACGTAACAATATCTTCCCGTCGGTGGCGTAATTCATCGAAAACTTTTCCAAGAGATTGAGCGGATGACCGGTAGGCGATGCATCGCGCTTAATTGTGGAGAGAACGCCAGTCGTGTTTCTCTCCGCAACGACGGGAGTGGTGCGGTGCGTTTTGCTTACACATATAATGTATATTACATGTTGTTTGTTTAAGATGCGACGCCTCCCGTTGATTTCAGTAGTTTCGGACGTTTTTTTTTTTTTCCTCTACGAATAAAAAAAATCGACCGATTCTGCGACCACTCACAGCGAGGCTGCGGATTCGGTGAGCATGCTCACTGAGTAAGTTCCGGTCCATATGCAGCCAAACTCGAAGCAACGTCAATTATTATTAAAAATAACTGCGCGATACTTTTTGCGATAACTCTCTTCGTTCCGAGCGAGAATAATATCAAAACGTAACGCGATCTTTTCAAGATTCCGTGTCGCTTTCAATCTAGCGAAGGGTCGAGGGAATGTTCGAAATCGTTAATATCGGCGGACGTTTTATGTAACAAATTAACGATCGCATCGTGCGTTCGTTTTTGCTGCAGAGTCCCGTCCGATTTATGTTGTACGTGTCTCGTGTTATATAGCGTGTGGTGAGCATACATATTTGTGTGTGTTCGCACTCCTGTACGACGACGACGACTATACGAACGACGTATCGTGTTTGTACAGAAAAACTGAAAGTTTGAGAGCGTGGCGTCTAGATCGGTTCCTCCGTCATCTGGACGCACAAAAATGCGCACAATACTTGTGTCTGTCTCCGATATATTATAAGTTATAATTCTGCGTCGTCCGCGACGCGGAATTATATTTCGGAGACTGATTTGTTGTGAACGATGCGGGGTGCGCGCCGTCGGCGGCGCCTCTCTCGAGGCGCGCCGCCGCCCGCGCTCCGCATTTTCGCGACAATAACAACAGCTCCCTGGTTGATCCTGCCAGTAGTCATATGCTTGTCTCAAAGATTAAGCCATGCATGTCTCAGTACAAGCCAAATTAAGGTGAAACCGCGAAAGGCTCATTAAATCAGTTATGGTTCCTTAGATCGTACCCACAATTACTTGGATAACTGTGGTAATTCTAGAGCTAATACATGCAAACAGAGCTCCGACCGGAGACGGAAGGAGTGCTTTCATTAGATCAAAACCAATCGGTGGCGGGCTTGCTCGTCATCGTACAAATTGGTGATTCTGAATAACTTTACGCTGATCGCACGGTCATCGCACCGGCGACGCATCTTTCAAATGTCTGCCTTATCAACTGTCGATGGTAGGTTCTGCGCCTACCATGGTTGTAACGGGTAACGGGGAATCAGGGTTCGATTCCGGAGAGGGAGCCTGAGAAACGGCTACCACATCCAAGGAAGGCAGCAGGCGCGCAAATTACCCACTCCCGGCACGGGGAGGTAGTGACGAAAAATAACGATACGGGACTCATCCGAGGCCCCGTAATCGGAATGAGTACACTCTAAACCCTTTAACAAGGATCAATTGGAGGGCAAGTCTGGTGCCAGCAGCCGCGGTAATTCCAGCTCCAATAGCGTATATTAAAGTTGTTGCGGTTAAAAAGCTCGTAGTCGAATTTGTGTCTCGCGCCGCTGGTTCATCGTCCGCGGTGTTAACTGGCGAGTCGCGAGACGTCCTGCCGGTGGGCTTAGCTCGCAAGGGCGGCCCAACTCAATCCTGCCGCGGTGCTCTTCATTGAGTGTCGAGGTGGGCCGGCACGTTTACTTTGAACAAATTAGAGCGCTTAAAGCAGGCTAAAACTTCGCCTGAATACTGTGTGCATGGAATAATGGAATAGGACCTCGGTTCTATTTTGTTGGTTTTCGGAACTCCGAGGTAATGATTAATAGGAACGGATGGGGGCATTCGTATTGCGACGTTAGAGGTGAAATTCTTGGATCGTCGCAAGACGGACAGAAGCGAAAGCATTTGCCAAAAACGCTTTCATTGATCAAGAACGAAAGTTAGAGGTTCGAAGGCGATCAGATACCGCCCTAGTCCTGGTACTAACTATAAACGATGCCCGCGCGCGATATGTAAGGTACTTCCCGACTAGCTAGAGAGTTGAAATTTTCTGGGCACTTAGAACTTTTAATTTTGTCGAGAAAAAACCAAGCACGTCCCCCCCCCACCCCTGGGGGACCCTTGGGGGGCTGTCAAAGTTTTTCCTTTCGACCCCTGTACAGCCCAAACGGGTGGGGGGAAAAACATGAAATTTTGAGGGGATGTAGAGAAAAAGTTTCTCTATCGAATGGATGGGGGGGCGAATTTTTAAAAAAATTTGGAGGGGGGAAAAACATAAAAAACGCGATATCTCGAGAACGGCCCCCTTTCCGATCTAAAAATGACGCCCCTGTGACTTCGTGCAGTGAAAAAATCGCCAAAATCTCCTAAAAAGGCCGCAGCCGCCGCAAAACCGACAGCCGCCAAGAAAGCTGCAGAAGAGAAAAAGGCTAAGCCGGCTGCCGCAGCTGCCAAAATTAAGACTCCATCGAAAGCCAAAAAGTCCAACAAGGCCGGGCCTACCAAGAAACCGAAGGCACCTAAACCGAAAACTGCCAAAGCGCCAGCTGCAGCTCCAGCGAAGGCAAAAAAGACGGCGTCATCCAAGAAGAAGAAGTAAATAATCGGTCAACGTTTTTTACTACGACCCCGAGGACGATGCACGTTTTTTGTGCACATGTGTTATTGAAAATCGGTTCTTTTCAGAACCACAACCACTATTCAGAAAGAAAATTGTTTTTTATTGCTTTTTATTTTTCCGAGCGAATTTATTATTATTATTATCATTTTTTTTTTGCAACCATAGGTAGGTATTTCCTATTGGCTATTATAGGTACATAGGTAGGACCTATAATGTCGAAATTACCGGCTTTTCAAAAATCCGTAAACGTCACGACGCTACCAACCTACTATCCCTTTTCGATTTCGTTCACTCAAATCAATTTGCTAATTTACTTATACCTTTGCTGATGGCACCAAAAAAAAAAATGAGAACGCTTCGTCGTCAGATACAAACGTGCCAAAACAACGATTTACACATTTCTATAGGTAGGCATGTTTATTCCATTTTTTTTTTTTCTAATTAGCGAAAAATCAAATAACTAACAGGTAGGTAGGTATATAACTATATAGTTCCTATACAGAAAACGGAGGGATGAAAGTTTTCGTCCCTGTCTCGAGATTATCGGTGTGAATAAAGTAAGAGATTAGGTATTTTGTCACGATTTTTCTTTCATTAAGGCGATTGTGGCTCCGAAAAGAGCCGTTTTTCAATATCGTCCATAGCAAAAGTCCATTTACTTGGAGCTCGTGTACTTCGTTACGGCCTTGGTGCCTTCGCTGACGGCGTGCTTGGCTAATTCACCGGGCAATAACAACCTCACTGCGGTCTGGATTTCTCTGCTGGTGATGGTCGATCTCTTGTTGTAGTGAGCAAGACGGGACGCTTCGGCAGCGATCCTTTCGAAGATGTCGTTGACGAAAGAGTTCATTATAGACATGGCCTTACTGGAAATTCCAGTATCGGGATGAACTTGCTTCAAAACTCTGTAAATGTAGATGGCATAGCTCTCCTTCCTCCTGCGCTTCTTCTTTTTGTCTGTCTTCGAGATGTTCTTTTGGGCCTTTGCGGCTTTTTTCTCAGCTTTTCCACTAGTCTTCGGCGGCATGTTTGTCAGTCAGTAACAACAATGTTAACTCACAAACGGTCAGAACTAGAATGCCTGAAACGGACCAAAAATCTCGTTATTTAACTTACGTTCGAGTCCCTTCACAAGCTCCGCCCACTGCGCTTACGGCCAATGGGACGCTTCTCGCGTTTCCATTGGTCGCTCGTACGCTTTATATAGCGACGAAAAGTGTCGGAGGCAGATCGTACAAATGCGCCAGGTGGAGGCACAGCCATTCTAGTGAAGAGAAACATCCAACATCATCAGATCCAGTCGGCTCAATCCGTTAAAATTGAGTCGACCGCAATCCAGATCAAAATGCACCCACAGAAGAAAGTCAACATCTTCTCGGTGTACATCAAACCAAGAACGATCCTCGACGAAGCGGACGTAGGAGTCCTATTTCCAGATGACACAGCAGTCATCGCAGGAGGTGACTTCAACGCGAAGCACTTCCAATGGGGCAACCTGACAACCAACTTCAAAGGCAGAACCATTGACAACGCCGCGGCAAGATACCTGTACAATATCTTGCCGCCAGACGGCCCTACGTTCTTAGGGGACCGTGCCATCCAGCCTGACTTCCTGGACATCTTCCTGACCAGAGGAGTCGACCAACAACAAACACTGACTGTGAACCACGACCTGTCCACATCAGACCACTTGCCAATCATCCTGGAAGTTGGAAATCCAGCCCTGAAACACACCAGATTTAGGGAAAAAACCATCACAAACTGGATAGCCTTCACACAGAAGTTGGTTGCGTCAGAACCACAGGCCCCCATCGACAATCCAGCTTCTCTCGACCAAGCGGCTTTGAAGCTCACAAATGACATTCAGGTAGCGCTCGATGAAGCGTCAATTACTAAAAGCTACCCAGCAGACAGATACCTCAACATCCCCAGGGAACTCCGCGACAGGAACCGCGTCAAAAACCGCATCCTTCGCAGATACACCACAACTGGGGATCCAGCCATGAAGAGAGAAGCAAGTCGATTGACATTAGAAATCCGACAAGCCATTCACGACATCTACAATGAGAACTGGCAGAGCAGGCTAAAACATTTATCCATAGAAGATGGATCCATCTGGAAGATGGCCAGATCCTTAACCAAGGGCTCAAGGAAACCTCTCCCGCCCATTGTCCACAACAACGCGACAATAACGGATCCCTCGGCAAAGCTCGACGCCTTTGCTGACACCTTCCAAGAACAATTCTCGACACACAGAGACCTGCCAGTTCCAAACCAAGTGTACCCTACTGTTCAATGTTTGTGCCAATTATGTCAAACAAAGCACAGATTAGGACAAAGCACGGCAGCCAGCTATTAGTGGAGAGCTAGGGTTCGTAGGTACTGAGTACTATCCATTGGAATAAATTAATGTGGGCGCCACCTAGTTAATTGTGACTTAACCAGGAAGATTACTTATTGATGTTATAACAAAACCTGTACAATTGGAGAGCTTAACAATAAAACAACTAATTAGGTACAAACATGTATCTGGCTTCTTTATCAAAAAATAATTCAATAATGAATAGGGATAGCCAGGACGTTGTTAAAAATGTGTATACATTATGGCTTGTACCAAGTTATAAATATTTGATTATAAAAAATGAGTGTAAATAATAAATATATGAATTTAACATAAACATTTTTAACTGTTTATTAACACTTGTGAAAGTTTAAAAGACCAGTATGGGTTACACTCTACCAACAGGCAAATTCAACACAGAAAGGTGAAAGTTATTCTTTGGGCAACCTCAGGGTAAAATTCTAGAATTTTATTTAAGGGGCACTTACCGAATGCAAGTCAGCATCAAGTGATTTATATTATATAGATTTGCCTAAATAGTAAAAGTGCAACTTACATGTATACAAGTGAAATGTATGTGAAAATCCAGAAGTTTCCAAAGTGAGATTATCTACAGTTTTGATCTCACTATAGATAGACTAAGGTATTGTAAGTGAGTCATGAGTCCTATCCATGTTATATCTGTTCAATGTAGGACTCCATGTGGTTCAATCAAAGTGGTACCAAGAGGTTTGCTGAAGAATGGCTACCAAAGCCCCAACTGAGAGCAATCCAGATCCAGTCTGGAATCTCTCCAAATACAGCCTAGCAACTGTCCAACTATAGCCTAAGACTAGGACTAGGGCTAAGAGTAGGACCCTATAACGATGTTCGTATAAAAAAACAAATCCAGCCCCAAATATCAGAAATAATCTTACCTCAAATTGAGGGATACTCTAGACCAAATGTGAAGTCTTAAACTTCCAAATGCTGCTCGGAACAGTCCTATTAAAAAATGGAACACGTGTTGTAGGTTAATATTCCTGAAGAAAATCTCAAAAACTTACCAAAAAAAAAATCCAAAATGACCAAGGGACGACTCTAGGCAATTATCAACTAGATATTAGTCTAAACCTTGAGTTCCCTGGCACAAAATTCCAAAAAAATCTCGCCCAAAATCAAATAGGGCCGAGACGAACCTTTCGATATCAAGTCTCAAAATCAAAAGGGCTAATTTTGACATTGAAGAAAATTATAGAAAAAAAGCGTGTTCAGTTTCACCCCAAAAGTACGAACTGAGAATCGGTTGTGTAAAAATGACTGGTGAATATTGAAAAGTGCCTATAGAACATATATCAACAGGTCTAACGAAAACGCCTAGACAAAACAGCTGTTCAATGACATGATGGAAATGTAAACAACAATTATTATCATAACCTCAGATTATTTGATTGAATTTGCAAACAGAGATGATGATGGTACTACCTCCTTTTCCTAAGATTCTAATCAATACCAGTGGGCCCTGCCGTACTGAATCAAACCTTCCTAGATTAATTAACAAAACTTGCAAACCTGCACAAAAAAACTTTCAGTAGAAGGCAGTACTCAAGGTAACAAAATCTGAATACAGAAAAGATAGTTGTTTATTCATTTATTTCATTGTAGTTCTATACAGAATCATATCTACTGGAGCAAAACGCAGTAGCATACCAAACAAGAAATTGAAAATGCTACACAAGATGAACTCAACCACATCAGCAGGACCGCCACACGCTTCCTGCAAACACAACCTCCTCCAAACGCCGACATACCACCCGTCACCAGTGCGGAGATCAGAGACCTGACATCCAGAGTCAAACCAAGAAAAGCTCCAGGACCAGACAGGATCAACAACACGATCCTGCGACGTCTTCCTGACACACAAATCCTGGAGCTCACAAACATCGTGAATGGCATCTTAAGAACGCAGCACTTCCCCACATCCTGGAAGAACGCTGACGTCATACTGATCCACAAAGCCAACTCAGCCTTGGACCAACCAAGCAACTACAGGCCAATCAGCCTGCTACCTCACCTCAGCAAGATAGCAGAGCGCATTATTCTCAGAAGGCTCAACAACCATCTCGAGGACAGAAACGTACTTCCTGAACAACAGTACGGTTTCAGAGCCAGTCGATCAGCAATACACCAAACAACCCGCCTAGCCAGGTTCATTGTAGACGGGTTCAACAAGAGGAGGGCAACAGGAGCACTCTTCTTTGACATATCCAAAGCCTTCGACAAGGTGTGGCACCTTGGGCTCATCTACAAGCTGCTACAGATACAAACGCCAGACTACCTCACCCGCATCATCCACTCGTTCATCACCAACCGAACGTTGCAGGTGAGGATAAACGACAGCCACTCCAGAACAGTACCGACCCAGCAAACACAGAAAGTCAGCCGCTGCGCAAAAACTGTGATACTGTGCTGTACTTGTTGTACAGCGATGTAGATGAAGCAGCTGCATCAGCCCGGATCATATATGTCCCACCGGCCTGCATCTGGCGCTGCACTGTTCATGCTGCATTTGAGTACAGTCACTGTGCAGTAGCTCTGCCTCTTCATTATGGAATTTTTACACAGCAATAACGCAGCGTTCTTGAAGACGTCGTACATATTTGTTTCGCAATAACTGTGCAGCCAATATACCGTTTAGGTATCTTTACTTGTGGCACTCTAAATTTAATGGACATAATTTATTTTATATAGACAGGATGATATTTTTGAAATATGACAAAACAAATTAAAGTATATGGAATATATTAAGGAGTGGGACAATAAACAATAATATTCCTTATCCTTAACCGTATTTTGGTGGCTTTTTCAGCTTCTGATTGAGACGCATTCTGACTGGCTTTTTTTTCTTACATCGACTAAATAAGGACAAAATTTAGTTAAAATTTAAAAACCGTTATACCTTGCATCAACTTACCTAAATTGCTTTATTGATGTTGATAATATAGGTATATTTTGAAAATTGTGCTTTTTGAAGGCGCCCTGTCCAGTTCAGCTGAGGAGTTGAATTTTTAGATAATAATCTGGCTAATATGTTCCTACATACTTCTTCAGTGTTTTTGCCCCCTAGTATTCCAAGACTATTTACCTGAAAGATTATTTCTCTTTTGTAAATCCATTTTTTAAATCACAAAAATAGAAAACGGAAAACGGGGGCAAATAGAAAAACGATAAAAAACTTAGGTTATGATAATACGGGGGCCTTTGTTTTTGTTTATTTGTATCAATTTTTCATCTACCTTGTTTCCACTTGTTGAAAATAATGCATCTTGTACACGTAGTAATACAAATCACAGGTAAAAGACACGTGAAAAACACCACAAAAATTATAAATCAAAAACGCTGCCCTGCATACAGTGAAACAATACAATACAATAAAATAAAACAAAATGGCTACGCTCACAACTCTACGGCAAAAAATACTGTGCTCGCGCAAATAGGCACATTTCTTTACAGTAACTGCACTAACATTTTACAACAGTTGTTGCATCAATATGCGCATGGGAGATCCAAATAATCTATCGCTTTTCCAATACAAAATCCGCAAAGCCGCTGCATATCAAATACTGCACTTCTAAAATACAGTATTCCCAATACCAGTGCTGCGCAGCATTAATAAAACTATTTATGCGCTGTATTTGGGCTGTGTTCGTGATACAGCAACATTACATTGCCGATAAGTTGTGTTTGTTGGGGATGACCGCAGGAGTCCCACAAGGCTCCGTGCTTGCTCCGACGCTGTTCAACATATACACACACGACATTCCACTTCCGGCTGGACCAGAAATCCAACTAGCCCAGTTTGCCGACGACACCGCCATCGTCGTCAAGAGCAAACAATCCAGACTGATCACCCTATATCTCCAGAGATACACCAACATCCTGGAAACCTGGATGCAGAAGTGGAAAATGAAACTGAACCCGAACAAGACTCAAGCTGTTCTGTTCAGACGTACACGTGCCAGACCTCATGGGCACGTGAGATTATCAGGACACGACATCCCCTGGAAAAGTAACGCCAAATACCTTGGCCTTCACATTGACCAGAGCCTCACCTGGAAACAACACATCATGATCACCAGAGCCAAGACAGAATCCACACTTCGAAAGCTCTTCCCTCTCATATCAGGGAGGAGGAGCAAGCTATCCATCCATAGCAAACTCCTGACATACAAATCCATGCTCAGGCCAATCCTCACCTATGGATCCCCGACATGGTCAACCACGGCACCCACCAACTTGGCAAGACTAACTGCCTGCCAAAACAAATCTCTCCGTATCATCCCGGACGCCCCATGGTACATGAGAAACACGACGCTTCATCGAGACTACGAACTAGAGACGCTACCTGAACACATCAAGAAGCTGAACACCAACTACTTCTTGATTGCCAGAGCTCACACCAGCCATACCATCCGGGACTCCCACCGGGCCCCCCCTCAAGACGAGAGACGCCCCTACAGAGTTCCAAACGATGATTACCCACCATAACAGGCCTACTGCTGCGTGCATCATCAGCCCTGGATTGAGTAGGGGTTGAGGATCATACGCAGCGGGAAGCCGCCCACGACTTCTCGAACCTGAGAAGTCAAACAGGACGCCTACTGCCAAAGAGACAGCCTCCCAGCCTGGGAAGCCTATCGGAGGCAGGAAGCCAGCCTTATAAGCCTACTGCTGCATGCCCCTTCCAGGAGGGACGCAAGCGGCAGGAAGCCAGCCAAACACAGGACGCTAAATGCCGGAGACAGCTTCCCCAGCCTGGGGAGGTAGTCCGACGCAGGAAGCCCTCACCTAACATTGTCGAAGCAGAAGCCATCCAGGACCAGAAACCCCCGACGAGGACCAGGACCACGACCATTTAATTTTAAGTTTAGGTTTAAGAAAGTCTCTTCAAGACAACTTGTCCGTTTTATTTTACTTATTTTTAGTTAAAATATCTTAAGGTGCACACCATGTTAGTTTAGCTTTTAAGTTTATCTTTTAAGAATATGATTGTCATTAACATTATGCATAAAAATTTCTTGTAAAATTATTGCAATAAACATTAGTTCAAACGTAAAACGGAGGCAGATCATTCTGCTTCTGCATTTTGGACCGCGTAGAGGTCTGCTCTGCTGTTTTCGAAAGTTTTAAAAGCCCATTTTCATAATGTCCGGACGTGGTAAAGGAGGAAAAGTTAAAGGCAAGGCAAAGTCCCGTTCAAGCCGTGCAGGACTTCAGTTTCTAGTCGGAAGGATCCACCGTTTGTTGAGGAAAGGAAACTACGCCGAAAGAGTAGGAGCCGGCACTCCCGTATACTTGGCCGCCGTCATGGAATATTTGGCCGCCGAAGTACTCGAACTGGCAGGAAATGCAGCCAGGGACAACAAGAAGACTCGTATCATTCCGAGACATCTTCAATTGGCCATAAGAAACGACGAGGAATTGAACAAACTCTTGTCAGGAGTGACCATCGCACAGGGTGGTGTGCTGCCAAACATCCAAGCTGTCATTTTGCCCAAAAAGACAGACAATAAGGCCAAGTAAATAGGCATATATTTACGTCGACGCATCAATCGGTCCTTTTCAGGACCACAATTCACAAAAAAAAAAAAGAATTCGTACCTACCTCTACCTATCGAATGAATGCTGAAAAAACGATGTTTTGGTTCGATTCCGACGGATCGAATCAATCACCACAGTTGTGAGAAACACAACAAACCATTCTATGTCGCTAGTAATTCTAATTTTAGATTCACGCTGCGGTTACCTATTTTTCTTTGTTTTTTTTTTTTTTTTTTTTTCTCCATACCTACCTACCTGACGCGATTTTTTTGTTTTTTTTTTTTTCGAACCGAAGCAATCCAATAATTATTCGAAATTCGTGCAGTGGGTAATTTTTTTATTCGAACCTCAACGTAAACAAAGAAGTAGATCCAAAAATGAACTAGATCGAAAACAAAATTATGTATAGGTACCTACAAAGAAATTCGAAAATGATGATGAAACAGTATATAGCAAAAACTATACGTATAAAAAAAATCGTCGTACCTAGGTACATATTATATAGGAGAACTAGGAAGCGCTCTTGGTGATAGGTAGCGTTTCTCGAATAGTTTTTTATCGATTTTTGTTATTGACAATGTAGACGAAATTTCTTTTTTCTTTATGGTTGTGGTTCTGAAAAGAACCGTTTTTTTTTTTTTTTTTCTTAGAAGCGTCGTCATAAAAAAAAATTAAGCACGTTCGCCTCTGATACGTCTGGCCAATTGGATGTCCTTGGGCATGATGGTCACTCGCTTGGCATGGATAGCGCAAAGGTTAGTGTCCTCGAAAAGACCAACCAGGTAGGCTTCGCTGGCTTCTTGCAAAGCCATTACCGCTGAACTTTGGAAACGTAAATCGGTCTTGAAATCTTGGGCGATTTCACGGACCAACCTTTGGAATGGCAATTCCCTGATCAGCAATTCGGTACTTTTTTGATAACGACGAATTTCCCGGAGGGCGACAGTTCCCGGCCTATAACGATGAGGCTTCTTGACACCACCGGTAGCTGGGGCGCTTTTCCGAGCCGCTTTCGTCGCCAGTTGCTTCCTCGGAGCTTTTCCTCCAGTAGATTTTCTGGCAGTTTGTTTAGTACGAGCCATTTTGCCGGATTAAAAACTGATGATTTTTTTTTTTAAATTGTTATCACGCAAATGAATCGGAGCGACGCGAACGCTGCGACTTCGTCTACTACAATGAGTGCGATTGTGAGAGCTTGCAACAGTTTTGTTACGTTACGCTGACACGCGATTGGTTCGATTTGAGGAAAAGGGGCGGAGTCGAAATCCTTAACAAAACCGGACGTAAATTCAAAGCACCATTCAGTCGAAAACGTTCCGTTCTTCGGTTTGTGTGTTGTTCGTGTCTAGTAGCAAGATTTTTATTTGACGACAATGACCGGAAGAGGTAAAGGAGGAAAAGGTCTAGGGAAAGGAGGTGCGAAGCGTCATCGTAAAGTACTTCGTGACAACATCCAAGGAATTACCAAACCAGCCATCAGACGATTGGCCAGACGTGGTGGCGTGAAACGTATTTCGGGTTTGATATACGAAGAAACTCGTGGTTCTCAAAGTATTTTTGGAAAATGTTATCCGTGACGCCGTTACTTACACCGAACACGCCAAAAGGAAAACAGTGACAGCTATGGACGTCGTCTACGCTCTGAAACGTCAAGGACGTACCCTTTACGGGTTCGGAGGTTAAATCGCCGAGAATTGGAGGAAAAAAAAAAAAAAAAAACGGTTCTTTTCAGAACCACAAATCTAAAAAAAAAAAAGGAAAATCGTAAACTCTAGCGAATTTAGCTTTAGGTTTTCTAAAGTGAAATTCATCATTGTTCGAGACGTTTTGAACGTAGCACGAGTTGCTGAAAAACGTTCGAAGATAAGGTGAATGCGCAAGGGAACACGTAAATTTGAATAAATCCAGTAATCCTCGGAATAAATGGATAAAACAAAAGTATTGTGTTATTATTATTATTATTATTTATTTTTTTTTTCCCGGATCTTGATTTTCTAGCCGTACACGTATATATCTTAATTTTTTTTTTATTTATTATTATTATTATTATTTTTTGCCTCAAACAGGACGAAAAAAGACATTTTTTTTTTGGAATAAGAAAAATCTCCAAATGATAGCGACCACAATTTTTTTTTTCTTCATTTTTTTTAATTATAAATAAAATCCAAAATCGAAAATTTAGTATACTGCTGGACACTTGAACTTTCACATATACAGACTTTCAGAGCAAATTCAAAATTCCATATTTTCGAGAGGAATAAAGTTTTTTTTTTTGTTTTTTTTTTTTTTTTAACGCGGTTTGTGGATTTGGATAGCTTGTTTTTTGCGGATAAAGCTTGACGTAAATTTCGCATACGACCATAGGGTTACGATATACGGGGTTCGGCGGCCAAATATTCCATGACGGCGGCCAAGTATACGGGAGCGCCGGCTCCTACTCTTTCAGCGTAGTTTCCTTTCCTCAACAAACGGTGGATCCTTCCGACTGGAAACTGAAGTCCTGCACGGCTTGAACGGGACTTTGCCTTGCCTTTAACTTTTCCTCCTTTACCACGTCCGGACATTATGAAAATAGGCTTTTAAAACTTTCGAAAACAGCAGAGCAGACCTCTACGCGGTCCAAAATGCAGAAGCAGAATGATCTGCCTCCGTTTTGTTACGTTTGAACTAATGTTTATTGCAATAATTTTTACAATTCTTATGCACAATGTTACTGACAATCATATTCTTAAAAGATAAACTTAAAAGCTAAACTAACATGGTGTCCACCTTAAGATATTTTAACTAAAAATAAGTAAAATGAAACGGACAAGTTGTCTTGAAGAGACTTTCTTAAACCTAAACTTAAAATTAAATGGTCGTGGTCCTGGTCCTCGTCGGGGGTTCCTGGTCCTGGATGGCTTCTGCTTCGACAGAGTTAGGTGAGGGCTTCCTGCGTCGGACTACCTCCCCTGGCGGGGGAAGCTGTCTCCGGCAGTCAGTGTCCTTGTTTGGCTGGCTTCCTGCCGCTTGCGTCCCTCCTGGGAGGGGCATGCAGCAGTAGGCTTATAAGGCTGGCTTCCTGCCTCCGATAGGCTTCCCAGGCTGGGAGGCTGTCTCTTTGGCAGTAGGCGTCCTGTTTGACTTCTCAGGTTTGAGAAGTCGTGGGCGGCTTTCCGCTGCGTATGATCCTCAACCCCTACTCAATCCAGGGCTGATGATGCACGCAGCAGTAGGCCTGTTATGGTGGGTAATCATCGTTTGGAACTCTGTAGGGGCGTCTCTCGTCTTGAGGGGGGCCCGGTGGGAGTCCCTGATGGTCTGGCTGGTGTGAGCTCTGGCAATCAAGAAGTAGTTGGTATTCAGCTTCTTGATGTGTTCAGGTAGCGTCTCTAGTTCGTAGTCTCGATGAAGCGTCGTGTTTCTCATGTACCATGGGGCGTCCGCGATGATACGAAGAGATTTGTTTTGGCAGGCAGTCAGTCTTTTCAAGTGAGTGGGTGCCGTGGTTGACCATGTCGGGGATCCATAGGTGAGGATTGGCCTGAGCATGGATTTGTATGTCAGGAGTTTGCTGTGGATGGATAGCTTGCTCCTCCTTCCTGATATGAGAGGGAAGAGCTTTCGAAGTGTGGATTCTGTCTTGGCTCTGGTGATCATGATGTGTTGCTTCCAGGTGAGGCTCTGGTCAAAGTGAAGGCCAAGGTATTTGGCGTTACTTTTCCAGGGGATGTCGTGTCCTGATAGTCTCACGTGCCCATGTGGTCTGGCACGTGTACGTCTGAACAGAACAGCTTGAGTCTTGTTCGGGTTCAGTTTCATTTTCCACTTCTGCATCCAGGTTTCCAGAATGTTGGTGTATCTCTGCAGGTATAGGGTGATCAGTCTGGATTGTTTGCTCTTGACGACGATGGCGGTGTCGTCGGCAAACTGGGCTAGTCGGATTTCGGGTCCAGCCGGAAGTGGAATGTCGTGTGTGTATATGTTGAACAGCGTCGGAGCAAGCACGGAGCCTTGTGGGACTCCTGCGGTCATCGGTACTGTTCTGGAGTGGCTGTTGTTTATCCTCACCTGCAACGTTCGGTTGGTGATGAACGAGTGGATGATGCGGGTGAGGTAGTCTGACGTTTGTATCTGTAGCAGCTTGTAGATGAGCCCAAGGTGCCACACCTTGTCGAAGGCTTTGGATATATCAAAGAAGAGTGCTCCTGTTGCTCTCCTCTTGTTGAACCCGTCTACGATGAACCTGGCTAGGCGGGTTGTTTGGTGTATTGCTGATCGACTGGCTCTGAAACCGTACTGGTGGTCAGGAAGTACGTTTCTGTCCTCGAGATGGTTGTTGAGCCTTCTGAGGATAATGCGCTCTGCTATCTTGCTGAGGTGAGGTAGCAGGCTGATTGGCCTGTAGTTGCTTGGTTGGTCCAAGGCTGAGTTGGCTTTGTGGATCAGTATGACGTCAGCGTTCTTCCAGGATGTGGGGAAGTGCTGCGTTCTTAAGTGCCATTCACGATGTTTGTGAGCTCCAGGATTTGTGTGTCAGGAAGACGTCGCAGGATCGTGTTGTTGATCCTATCTGGTCCTGGAGCTTTTCTTGGTTTGACTCTGGATGTCAGGTCTCTGATCTCCGCACTGGTGACGGGTGGTATGTCGGCGTTTGGAGGAGGTTGTGTTTGCAGAAAACGTGTGGCGGTCCTGCTGATGTGGTTGAGTTCATCTTGGTTTGGAACTGGCAGGTCTCTGTGTGTCGAGAATTGTTCTTGGAAGGTGTCGGCAAAGGCGTCGAGCTTTGCCGAGGGATCCGTTAATGTCACGTTGTTGTGGACAATGGGCGGGAGAGGTTTCCTTGCGCCTTTGGTTAAGGATCTGGCCATCTTCCAGATGGATCCATCTTCTATGGATAAATGTTCTAGCCTGCTCTGCCAGTTCTCATTGTAGATGTCGTGAATGGCTTGTCGGATTTCTAGTGTCAATCGATTTGCTTCTTTCTTCATGGCTGGATCCCCAGTTGTGGTGTATCTGCGAAGGATGCGGTTTTTCACGCGGTTCCTGTCGCGGAGTTCCCTGGGGATGTTGAGGTATCTGTCTGCTGGGTAGCTTCTTGTATTTGACGCTTCATCGACGATGGGGGCCTGTGGTTCTGACGCAACCAACTTCTGTGTGAAGGCTATCCAGTTTGTGATGGTTTTTTCCCTGAATCTGGTGTGTTTCAGGGCTGGATTTCCAACTTCCAGGATGATTGGCAAGTGGTCTGATGTGGACAGGTCGTGGTTCACAGTCAGTGTTTGTTGTTGGTTGACTCCTCTGGTCAGGAAGATGTCCAGGAAGTCAGGCTGGATGACACGGTCCCCTATGAACGTAGGGCCGTCTGGCGGCAAGATATTGTACAGGTATCTTGCCGCGGCGTTGTCGATGGTTCTGCCTTTGAAGTTGGTTGTCAGGTTGCCCCATAGGAAGTGCTTCGCGTTGAAGTCACCTCCTGCGATGACTGCTGTGTCATCTGGAAATAGGACTCTTACGTCCGCTTCGTCGAGGATCGTTCTTGGTTTGATGTACACCGAGAAGATGTTGACTTTCTTCTGTGGGTGCATTTTGATCTGGATTGCGGTCGACTCACTTTTATCGGATTGAGCCGACTGGATCTGATGATGTTGGATGTTTCTCTTCACTAGAATGGCTGTGCCTCCACCTGGCGCATTTGTACGGTCCGTTCTGTAAGTGAAGTAGTTGGGGACATTGAACGTGTGTCGGTGCTTCAGGAAGGTTTCCTGGAGCAGTACAATGTCGATGTCGTGATCCTCAAGGAACTGTAGGACTTCTGGCTTCTTGTTGTGGGCGCAGTTGCTGTTCCAAGACACTACGCGCAGGAATTGCGGGATGGTTTCAACAATCATTGCGGGCTGCTTTGTTTGTTGTTCCTGGCAGCAGCTGTTTGACGAGGGGCGCCAGCGCGCTCGTCAACTGCGTGAGTTGTTCTTGGTAGCTCCTGTTCATTGTTTCTATGGCACTAGAAATTTGACGGAGCGTCTCGGGCAAGCTGTCGCTGATTGGTGCCGCCGCGGGTCTGGAGCCTGCGCCGGCTCTGTGGTTGGTGCCGGCGCTGGGG